GCCGTGCCCTTCTTGTTTTTTATTTTTTTTTTTTTTTTTGGTTTTTCGAGACAGGGTTTCTCTGTAGCTTTGGTGCCTGTCCCGGAACTAGCTCTTGTAGGCCAGGCTGGCCTCAAACTCCCAGAGATCCGCCTGCCTCTGCTCCCGAGTGCTGGGATTGAAGGAGTGCGCCACCACTGCCCAACTATTAATATATTTTTGGAGACTGGATCTAACTTTCTATGTAGCCAAGGATATCCTTGAACATCTAATCCTCCTAATGCTATCTTCCAAACTCTAGGATTGGGGCTGGAGAGATGGCTCAGTGGTTAAGAGCACTGACTGCTCTTTCAGAGGACCCGGGTTCAATTCCCAGCACCCACATGGCAGCTCACAACTGTCTAAAGATCCAGTTGCAGGGGATCTGACACCTTCACACCAGTGCACATAAAATAAAGTTAAATAAACCATAAAAAATATTAAAAAAAACAAACTCTAGGATTACAGGCATATGACACCACACTTGTTTTTTATTTTTGTTTTTGTTTTTAATGTGCATTGGTGTTTTGCATGCATTCATGTCTGTGTGAGGGTGTCTGATCCCGTGGAACTGGAGTTACAGACAGTCGTGAGCTGCTGTGTGGGTGCTGGGAATTGAACCTGGGTCCTCTGGAAGAGCAGCCAGTGCTCTTAACCATTGACCCATCTCTCCAGTCCTCTGTTTCATTGTTGTTTTTGTAAAGAGAGAGAGTGTGTGTGTGTGTGTGTTGTATGTGTATGTGTAACTATAGAGCCCAAGAGAGGATGTTGGAGTTACATCCGGATCTGGAGTTACAGGTGCTCAGGTCACCAGCTATGAGTGCTGGGAACTGACCTCAGGCCCTCTGGTGAAGCAGGAAGTGTTCTGAACAGCTCTGAGAATGAGATGTTGCAACAGCAAATACCTAAAAATGTGAGTGGCTTTGGAAATGGGAAGAAGAGAGAAGAATTTGGAGAAGCGGGTTAAAGAACAGCCCAAATTTCCACCAAGTATAAAGGGCAGTTCTGGTAAGGGATTACTAGGAGGCAGAGACAGGCAGATCTCTGTGAGTTTGAGTGTGGAACACAGCAAGGTCCAGGCTATATAGTCAGACCTTGTTTCAAAAACAAAACAAGCTGGGCAGTGGTGATGCATGCCTTTAATCCCAGCACTTGGGAGGCAGAGGCAGGCAGATCTCTGTGAATTCAAGGCCAGCCTGGTCTACAGAGAGAGTTCCAGGGCAGCTAGGGCTGTTACACAGAGAAACCCTGTCTCAAAAAAACAAAAACAACAACAACAACAAAAAGTGGAGAATTATAAAGTTTGAAACATCTTAGAGGTGACTTAATGATCGTGATTAAAGCCATAGCAGAAGGGATTAGAGAGATGGCTCAGAGGTTAAGAGCAATGACTAATTTCCCAGAGAACCTGGGTTCAAGTCCCAGCACCCACATGGTGACTCACAACCATCTCTAACTTCAGTGGGGATTCAGTGCTGCTTCTGGGCTCTGAGGGTACCGAACATGTCTCTGGCACACAGACACACACACACACACAAGCTTTTAAAAGATGCCAGTAGAGCATGGCATGGCAGCTTGTGCTCGTAATCAACCCCAGCGCTCGAAAGCTCTGGGAGGCGACCATTGTGGATCTGAGACCAGCCTGAGCCAGATAGAGAATGAGACCTTTTCTCAGGACAAAGATGTTTCTGCGGTTAGTAGAAATATGGATGGGGAAAAGGAATTCTGTTGAAATCTCAGATAGAAATAAGGAATGTCTTACTCTTATTGGAAGCTGGAACAAAATCCATTCCTGTTACAAAGGAGCCAATAACTTCGCTGAACTGTCATAGGGGTTTATGAAAATGGAAGTTAAGAGAGGAGAGCCTGGCCCACCTGTTGGTCTCCAGCTAAGGTGAAAAGAGGAGGAGCACCACACAGGTGTCTGATGGGAGGAACTGCTTTCGTTTCGACCATCTTTCTGTCTTAGTTTTGCCTTTTTTGAGACATCATGTCAAGTAGTCTAGCCTAGGCTGGAGCTACGCACCAGAGGATGACTGACTGCCGTCTGCTGCCTGGGTGCCGGGATTATGGGCATGTGCCACCTCAGCAGCCTTCAGGAGCTGCTGTCGGGGGAGCCCAGGGCTTTGTGTATGCTGGGCAAACATTCTTCTACTGAGCTACGTCCCAGCCCAACACCTAGCGACTTAAAGTTTTTCCTTGGTTTTCCTTTGTCTGTGCCTTCAGTGTGAAGGTTCTGATGCCCTCCAAGGTGTGCCCTCATCCTTGGTTCCTTTTGTCCTCTGCTAAAAGGCAACCATTGAACTCAAAGCCAGCATAGTCTTTACCTTAGGATTCCCACACCTGTGTGTCTAGGTCAGGGCATTTTGCAGAGGGAGACAGGACCTGGAGATTTGGGTATTGCCAAGTTCACACCTAAATTTATAACTGCTTAATGGTGGCACACGAATGTCCTGCCAGCACACCTAGTGAGAGCGTCACTATCCTTTCTGTTCCCCTCTTTCTGTGTGTGAATGACACGGATGGGGCCCTCCTTGCCTTCTCGCCCCTACAAACCCCGTGATTGCCTCCCTCTCTTCCCAGATCCAGCTGTCACCAAAGCAACACAGAGAAACCCTGTCTCGAAAAACCAAAAACCAAGCCAAACCGAACCAAAAACCCGATATCACCTTACTATTTTTTTAGGGGGCAGATATCGAGGCAGGTTCGTGCCAGCATGCCTGGCTGTACATTTCGTTATATCCCCATTACAACTTCCCACTTCCCCATCATCTCTCATCTTCCCTACGAGGTATCCCTTAGTTCTGGTGTTACAGATATGTGCCACCATGTTTGGCTTCATGTCATTTTTGTAGTGCTGGCAATTGATCCCTAAGTTCCATTGACAGAGTGCTTGTCCAGCGTGCATGCAGCCTGGGTTCCACTCCTAGCACGAAATAGAACAAGACGTGGTGTTGCACAGCCAGAAAAATCCCAGCATCAAGAGGTGGTGAAAGCAGGAGTACCAGGAGTGTGCCACTACCGCCCGGCTAGACACAGTGTTCTAATTGCAAAATCTTGTAGAGAGAGAGAGAGAGATCTGGAGAATCAGAGCCCGTAAGAAACATTTGAGTTAGATTTAGCTCTCAGCTGGATACAGTGGCTTGACTGACCTCAATAATACCACCTGGGTCACAAAAGTTGTCCACTGAGTCAAGACACAAAATCATGAATGAACTAGTTGCGTTAAGACAATTTGTTCAGCTGAGTGACTGTGGTGGCTCACACCTCTATTCTTCATAGTCTGGAAGCTGGACCAGGAAGACTTAGAAATTCTAGGCCCGCCTCACCTACAGAGTAAAACTCTGAAGAAATCAAGACAAGACAAAACCAAATAAACAACTGTGTTAAAAATACAAAAAGAGAGATTGGAGAGATGGCTCCTTGGTTAAGAGCACTAGCTGCTCTTCCAGAGGACCTGGGTTCAATTCCCAGCACCCACATGGCATCTTACAACTGTCTGTCATCTAGTCCCAGAGGCTCTGACATTTTCACACCAATGCACATAAAATACATTTAAATAAATTATTTAAAAAATATAGAGAAAAGTTTACTGTTAGGGTTGTTCAAGGGGTAGAGCAGTTGCCTAGATGTGTGTTGACAGCGAACCAAACAAACAAAATCACCATAGCAACAGCAGCAGCAAGGCTGTTTTATGTTGGCATGTAATATTAATAACTGACAAGAAAAGGAATGTGTATCAGAAGTGGGGTGCCACCACTGTCACCCAAACCTAAAATTTGCAGCATTGACTCTGGGACTCAGTGGCAGCCAAGTTAGGAAGGATAGAGAAGAGACTTAGCAAAGGCAGGAGTGAGGAGGCTGATTTAGAAGTTGGAGGAAGGGGAGCTCAAGCTATGGGCTGTCTATCACCTGTAGTAACTCGGAAGCCAGAGCCCATTGCCAAGTTGTGACTTCAGCAAGAGAGATTTCCTGGTGGGATGCTGAAAATGCCGATGGTCTTATTTTAGCTTCCTGTGATAAGGCATTTCAGGAGACGTGTTGGAGGGGGTTCGGGGAGCCAGAGAGCCAGGAGCGGTGACTCACACCTGTAATTCTAGTAGCGTTTGGGAGACTGAGGCAGGAGGATTGCTGTGAGTAGGAGACCAACCAGGGCTACTTAATGAGTTCTGAGACAGGCTGAACTATAGCATGAAGCCATGCTTCAAAGAAGCAAAACAACACACACACACACATACACACACACACACACATATACATGCACACATACACACATACACACATGCACACACATACACATACACACACATACACACACACACACACAAAACCAAACAAACAAAACTTCAGTTTCCTAGAAGAATTTAGAGAAAATATTTCTAAAAGGATTTGCAAGATTGAAAAAGGAAATCATTTTCAGTCACAGTCCAGCTGGCCTTGGTGAGCTCCCAATAGATCAGCCCCACTGTCTCAGTGGTTGGGTGCACCCCTCGTGGTCCTGACTTCCTTGCTCATGTTCTCCCTCCTTCTGCTCCTCATTGGGACCTTGGGAGCTCAGTCCGGTGCTCCAGTGTGGGTCTCTGTCTCTATCTCCATCCATCACCAGATGAAGGTTCTATGGTGATATGCAAGATATT